TGTCTCTAGGAATTTCATAAATGTACAAAGAACTAAAAAAAATACTGAACATCTAAAAACAAACAACCAAATCAATAAATGGGGAAAGGAACTGAACAGATACTTCTCAAAAGAAGAAATACAAATGGTCAACAAGTATATAAAAAACTGCTCAACATCTCTAGTAATTAGAGAAACGCAAATTAAAACTACACAGAGATTTCACCTCACTCCAGTCAAAATGGCAATGCTAAGTGAAATTAGACAATCCCCCCCACACCCCAAAAAAAAAACAAATGACAAATGTTTTCTTTGATATAAGGAGGCTGATTCATAGTGGGGAAGGCAGAGGGAGCATGGGAGGAATAGACGAACTCTGGATAAGGCAGAGAGGTGGGAGGGGAAGGGAGGGGACATTGGGTTAGAAATGATGGTGGAATATGATGGACATTATTATCCAATATCTTCATACATGTAGGAAGACACGAATGGTGTGAATATACTTTGTACACAACTGGAGATATGAAAAATTGTGCTCTATATGTATACTAAGAATTGTAATGTATTCCGCTGTCATATATACATTTAAAAAATACTCAAATTAAAAAAAGCAACAGGAGGAAGCAGAGAAGCATGTCCAAAGGGCCCTGGGATGCAATTGGCCCTGGGAAGGCTGTGGGATGCTGCGTGGTGCTCTTCCACGTGGGTTCCAAACTGTCATCAGCGCCCCTCTGGAGCAGGTTGGAAATGCAAACTCTCCAACCCACTGTGTACCTACTGTCTCAGACCCTCTGGGGCTGGGGCTGGGGCCCAGAGCTCCGTATTTTGACAAGCTCTCTTGATGATTCTTTTGCATGCAAAAGCATGAGCACCACTGATGTGTAGGACAAGCAAGCCGGCATCTTTAATAAATGAATTGCAAGAGTGCAAGAAGGGGAATCCATGACTTAAAAAAGAATTTATGCAAAATTTGTTGGAGTCCTGGGTTTGAACATTCTGTAAAATCTTTTATGAAGGAAATCTGAACATGATCTTGGTATCAGATGTTAAGTTGTCAATTTTTAAAGGTCTGATACTGGTCTCATGGTGATGTTTTGTTGTTGTTGTTTTTTTTTTTTTTTTTTTTTTTTGTGGTGCAGGGGATTGAACCCAGGCTGTGTGCACACTCATGGTTATGTTTTAAGACCTACTACTAGTGATATGCACTGAAGTATTTGTGATGAAATGATGTCAGAATTGAAATTTGTTTCTAAGTAATTATTGGCAGAAGGTGAAGGAGGGGTGGGGGACAACTAAAACAAGGTTAGCCCTGACATCACCATATTGAGGCTGGGTGGTGGGTACATGGGGGTTCAATATAATTCTGTACTCTTTCTTTTCAATTTTTTTTTCAACTTTTCTTATTAGACATTTGAAAAAAATTAAGGAAATTAATACAGCAAATATAATAAAATGTTAACAACTGTTAAATTAGATTGATTAGGGTGGATATTAGAATTCTCTGTATTTTTATGTGCTTGAAAATTATGTTCATAATTAAAATTTTTAAAACTTCATAAAAAATAGAAATAGGCTCTCATGCTTTGAAACATGGTATCACTGTAGAAAACACTGACATATTCACTTGGGCAATTATTGATGAACTTTTTATGTGCAGAGACTATACTAAACAATTTTGGATGCTATTAGGTCACAGGCCATCAACACCAATTTAAAGTTGCGGAGGTGAGTCTGTGGAGGCACCTCCCGGGTCCACAGTGCTGGGAGTGGGGCCAGTGCCAGGTTGGTCTCTGTCCATCTCCCTGCTCTTCCTAGCCCTCTTTCTGCAGGGACACTTAAAAATAAGACCTTTTTATCTGGCATATTGTTCATGTTTCCCACAAACTTAGGGATCCTTCAAGTGCTCCAGAGCATTAAGTGATAGCATTCTGCTTGTTATTTCTTAGTTGGTTTTTGAATTTTAAAAATTTCATTGAGCTACAGTGTACGTACAGGAGGGGGCATGAATATGAAGTTTACAGCTTCAGGACTCTTACCTCTGTAAACCTTCCACGCCAGCAGATCACGAAGGTGAATACATGCAGCACCTCCACCCTTGGGCCCTTCCTCATCCCACCTTCCCCCACAGGTAACAACTAGGCTGACTTCTCCCCACACAGATCCAAATGGCACCACAGTGGGGGTCTCTTGTGTCTGCTTCTTTCACTCATGTTTAAGTATGTGAGGTTCATGCATAGTACTACGTGGGGCAGTAGCATATTCTTTGTTGTTACATAGTATTCCATTGTGTGAATAGGCCTCAATTTATTTATCCCATCCTCCTATTTGATGGGATTTGGGGTTGCTTCCCTTTTTAAACTATTATTCATATACCTGTGATTAATACTCCTATCAACACATTTCAGGGCACCTACACACTTTTCTTGGATGAGCCTGATAGGAGTGGCTCCCAGGAGCAGTCTGTTCTCACCTTAATAGATGACTGCCGACGAGTCTCCAATGGGGTTGTGTCAACTGTCACTCCTGCCAGAACAACAGAAGAGTCTCAGTTGCTTCACTTTCACAGGGACACTTGGGGTGGCCAGTGTTTTAGCCATTCCGGGATCAGCCTCTCTTGGAAACCTCCAAGAAAGCCTGAGTTCTGCTGAATTTGTCGACCCTCTTGGCTCCCACAGCACTTCCTCCGTATCATGGCTAAATTCTTATCACTTCTAGCAGAAGAATGTGCTTCCTGTTTGTTTTTACTCATGAGAATCTAAGTCCCTGCTGGACAGGGGCAGTATCTTGCTCTTCTTGGGGTTTTTGTTGCAGGGCCTGACTCAAGAAATGTTTGAGTGAATGAGTGAACGAATAATCAACCTTCCGAAGAGCTAAAGCCTACTTACCCCATAGGACTTGAAAAACATTGTATAAACAACTAAATTCTTTGGACCATGCTTTCCTAGCTGTAATGAAGAGGGAGACTTTGGATGGAGATTCTGAGAGCCCTGGCACTGGGACCAGGTTTCTGCCTCCACGGCCTCATTTGCAGCAGGCCTGAAGGCCTATAGGAGCAGGATGGGCTGCCGGGGGAAGCCGAGCTGGTTGGCCCCTGGCAGACAATGCGGATCTGGTCTGAAAAGTGACCTCTTCTCTTGGGGCCACCAAATTGCCATGATCACAGAAAACAGCATGGATACACTCTGTGTTTGCAGTACTCACCGAGACCAGCCTTATTCTCTGTGCAGTACCTTGATGGGATGCAAATGCTGTGCTTGCCCAGCTCTGCCTCTGCCTCTCCAATCCCCAGCATCGACTCCAAGTCCAAGTGCACACGCCAAAAGAAGGATCCCGAGACACTCCTGGATTGCTCTAATAGACACGTCCACGGAAAGACTGACATTTGTATTATGGGGGATTGAGAATTCACTGCTGGGTTAAGATAACCTGGTGCCTGCGTCCATCACTGTAACCAGCAGTTGAACCAAAAAGCCCTTCTTTCAAGCAAATATTTGGCTTTCGTTGAACTTCTGCAAATGATCACACCAGTGGACTGACACCTGCTGCTTGGGCTATGAGCAGTTCCTGGTCATTTCTAGAGGCAGAGGCTGCTGCAGAAGGAAAACAGCAGCAAAGACCTGAGTGTGAAAGAGGAAGCCCTGAGGACGGGGCTGAGGGCTGGGAGAACGCACTGCAGTGCTGTGGGGCCTCTGCAGGTCACCTCGGCCTGGGGTGAAAGAGCTGTGTTCTCCCTGCATCCTGCTGGCTCTCCACCGCCTTTTCTGTATGGCTCAGCGCTTTACTTCCAAGCTGTTCCCAGGACTGTCACTTGTGCTTCTGAGCAGGTGCCCTTGGCCTCCCAGCCCCTACCCCCACCTTCATGGCCCTCAGCTCCATGTCCTGGAGGAGATGCATCTGGAAACCTTGCAAGAGCCCGATGGTCAGTGCTGGGCTCTGACAGCGAGCTGGGACACACAACCCTAGTGGGACTGCCTTCTTTCCAGAGGATTCCTTGGAGTCTTAGTGAGAACAGCACCCGTCTGTTTGGGCTGAAGACGGTGATTCCCAGGGGAGCCTTCTCGGTGTTCCCGCGCCCACTTCCCTCCTCCCTAGGAGAAAGGAGGCCTGTGGACAGACCTCATCTTTCCAGGGGTAACTGATTTCTGCCACGCTAGCTCCTGGGCTTTGTGCTATAGGATGAGGGTTGGCCAGAGGGGGAAGGCCAGCAAGGGGGCGGAAGACTCCAACTATAAGCCCGGGAAAACCCCCATGAGGCAGTGCCTCCGTAAGAGAGGCTGGAATGGGGAGGGGCATGGTGGCGGAGGGTGGAGTACAGGTGCCTGCTTAGTGGGTGGAAGAAGTTGTGGGGAGAACTGAAAATGAAGGACTTCAAAGAATGGCGTGTAAGTTCCTGAGCATTGATTTTGTCGACTTTCAAGACATGCTTCTTGAAGTACCACCATCCATAACCTGAGTCGGCCTCACTCACTGACCCCTCTTCCCCAGGACGTGAATGAATCCGTACAGGCAGCAGCCTGCAGCACACGGGTTCTCAGATGGCCCGTCTTCCCAGTAGACCTGCAACCTTGGGTGAGGCAGGAAGTGGCCTGTGGTCTGCCCAGCCAGCTCCATGTTCCCAGAGCCAGCAAGGCCAGAGTCCAGCTGGTATGGGCATACCGGAAAGGAATAAATGCCTGGGCAGGGGCTGTGTTCAGCCACCGTGATGATCCACTGCTCTTCCTGTCCCGTCAGCCACTTCCTGTCTTGGACCAAAAGAAACCTGCCTTCACAGGAAGCCCCAGTCGCAGGTCAGCTTCCTGCTCCCAAGGCGAAGGACCAACCCACCCTCCAGCTCTTTCAACTGTTCAGAAAAATGTGAACAATATAAGATAGTCAATAAGAGCTTTTTTTTTTCATTTTAAATCAATTAGACTGAATAAAAATTTTGGTGCTTGGATTCATAGACTTAGAAATTGACAAAGGACCTCATATAGGTGACATTACTTAATAAAGTGACTATTAGGGAAATCATGATGTTGAAAGACACTGCAAAGTCAAGGAAAATTGTATTTTCCAGAAATAGCAAACGACATGAAATATTGCTAGTTAGATGAGGGGAAAACAAGCTTTAAAGAAAAGAATTTATGAATTCTGGATGGGTTTGCATTTTGATTCCATTTATCATTCTTTCTCTCTCTCTCTCTCTCTCTCTCTCTCCCTCTCTCTCCAATCTCCAGCTATGTCACTAACTAAATATAAAAATGCACAAAAATATACACCAAAACATCTCCACTGGTTATTTTGGGTTGATGGAATTATGAGTGACTTATGTTTCTTATTAAATTTTTCTACAATTACAATTTTTAAAAAATATATTTTGGTTAGCCTTTGCTGTGTCACAGACTACTTTAAAAATTAAGTGGTTTAAAAGAAAGATGCATTTCTCATGATTCTGCAGGCTCCTGGAGTTGTTCTTGGGGTCCAGGCTGGCTTGGTGGGTCTAGTGGTCAGCTGAGAGCAGGACTGGTCAGGATGCCCTAGCGTGGCTGGTACTCCTGTATGAGATGTGAGGCCGGCCAGGTGTCCCTACGCCCTGTTGTGTCTTGTTTTCCCATGGGTCAGCCCAGGACCCATCATGTGGTGGCCTCAGAGGTTCAAGAGTGGGGAAAAGGCCGACCTCTCAGCTGCTGTTTCCATGCCTCTGCCTGTAGCTGTTTGTTCATCGATGTTGGTAAGAGCAAGTCACATGCCAAAACTGGACTGATGGGGTGGAGAGGCCGTCACTGCACGGTGCATCCTGGGATGGGCAAGCTGTGGCCATGTGCGAAAACACGACATTTGGAAAGAGAAAAACAAAGTTAATTTTTAAAAGATGAAAATAGAAGCAACTTTCTGCCAACAGATCTGGAACTTTGGTTGAGAGTCACCAGAGCCGGAGTATCTAAGAAAATCAGACAATCACAGAAGTGACGAGCCACACTTTTAGCCCCAATTGACTATTGAATTATTTTTTTAAACGTCAAGAGTTGGTGGATGCTCCTTGACCTCACTTAAGTCAGCTCCTTTTTCAATGACATTTTTTTTCATTGATTCTAAGGAAACACTTGGGGTAGGCAGGGGTCAGGCCCCATGACCTTCCTCCCAGTGTTAAGGCCTGCAGATGTGTCATGCACATGGCAAGAGAAAACCCAGGGGGCAGAGAGTTCAGGTTGCCAATATCTGTTGCCAATATCCCCAAAGCAGGGACTTTGGAGATTTCAGAGGGACTCCACTGCCATTGCTGGCTTTGAAGGGAGAGAGCAGGAGCCACCTCTGGTGGCTGGGAGTGGCCTCTGGGAGGTGGGCGTAGCCTTGTGGCACATCCAACAGGGAGCAGGGATCCAGGGGTCCTGCCACTCAGCAGATTCTGCTGACAACCTGGATGAGCTCAGAAGTGGAGCCCGCCCGGCGGACATCTGAACTTTTTCCCACTGAGGCTCCACCAGACCTTGAGCCTGCAGAACTACAACTTGCCAACACTGTGGTTCTAAGTTGTGCCCATTTGTTAGAGCAACTACAACAAACAAGTATGATCTTCATGACAAATACTATAAGAAACTGTAGAAAAGCACAAGGAAGGAGGCAAGTCCCCTCGTAGGCCACTTAGCCTCGGTAGCCTGATTCAGTTCACATACATCCTATCTCCTCACCACCCTAACTGGATTGGGATCATTCTGGACATATTTCTTACAATGGACATTTTTTGTTTTTACAGAACAGATATGGACCATTTCCCATGCCAATAAATTGTCTTTCCTGTTTCTGAAAACAGGGTTTTAATCAGATGGTGCAAGTGTTCATGTGGAGGTCACATGGGGCATGGGAACTTGGTGGCAGGGGCCAGGACCACTCCCTGGAAGAGAAGAGAGCTTGAAGACAGTGGGTGTCAGGAGGTGCGGATGCCACATGGCTCTCCTGGCAGAGCAAGGAGGGTGGGCAAAAGCACCAGGACACCCCGGAGCGTGGTTTCTGTGCAGGTCTTGCTCCAGGACTGAGCGGGGAGGGTATTTGGAAGGTGACTTCCGGAAGATGGTCCTCTACCTGGGTCTGCTGGGCGTTTCCTTTAGGAGAGTCCTTCTTAACAAATGACTTACCACTTCCCTCTAAAGCGCCACCGTCTCCACTCCAGGAAGGACTGCACAAGCCAGAAGACCACGTCCCAACACCACCGTCCAGCCAGGACCTGGGAGCCTTCTGAGGAAGTGGGGTCACCCCAACTTTCTGACGACAGCCTGTGGCAGAGCAGGAATTGGCAGACGCAACTTACACACATCTGACTACTGCCAAGTTATAAGCAAAGGCTTGGCAGCAGACGTCCTCGTCATCGGTTGGGACGCGCCAGCCTTACACACTCTGGGGCTATGAGCTGGAGGCCGGTCTTGCTCTGCGTTTTCTTTGAAACTTGAATTTCAAGCAGCTACTTAAATGGGCACAGTCGGGGGAGGAGGAGGAGGAGGGGAGAGTTCATCTTTAGCCCCTGGGACACACACAAGACAGATGCCATCCATGTGAGCTCTCCTCTAGGTCCCCCTTCAGCCACTGGAAGCCACCTTTTTAAAAAAAATTTTAAGCTTTTTCCAGAGGAGGAGATATGCGCGGCTGGGTGTCTCCGCTTACATCCATTCTAAGCCTGTGCGTCCTGGAATAACTAAGTAGCTCCCACTTTGCCTCCAGACCCGGGAGGAGTTAGCGGGGTCGGGCCGCGTTCTCTGGGGCCACGCTGTCTGCAGTCCTGATGTGGCCGGGCCCTTTCTCCCAGCCTCTAGCCTGAACGCCTCCTAATCCAACCTAATTCCACCTGGGCACTCTGTCTGCTGCCCTTTAAGACATCAAAGCGCAGCTGCTCTCTCCAGTATAATGGCTGTCTTTGTTATTCCCGCGTGACTGGAACCTGTAAAATGTCACTTCCTAGCGGATCTCATTTGGTGTAAGTGAAACAGATTTTTAAAGTCGAAGCTTGCATTGGACGTTTGTTCCTGGGGATGGTGTCCATGTGTCTCTTGCTGCCTTCTGCTGGCTCCCCTCTTGGACCCGACACTCTGACACAGACACATAGGGCTCTTTTGCAGATCCTGGCGGCTGGCCGTTTCCGAATCTTTCCTAGCTGACTTACAGCGAGGCGGCCCCCAGGACTCCCTCCTGACGCAGCTGCACATTTGGCCTGGTCTTTCTCTTCAAGCAGCAGTTGTGGCCGCGTCCATCTTGGAAGGGATTTCTCTGTGTGTGTGCAATGCTTGACACATGATCAGAGACGACCGGCCTCCACTACAGCCACGTGACCAACTCCGACTCTGCCCCCTGGGGGCCATGGGCTGGTCTCCTGCCTGCAGAGGAGTGAGGGCCTGAATCCTGGCACCACCCTGGCCCTGGCAAGAAGGTTGGCAAACACGGCATCCTACCTTTCAAGGCCACTGCCGCGCCAGGCTGCGTCCCCATCACAGCTGACTTCCACTGAACCCACCGCGGGTCTTCTGCTCAGGACTCAGGGGACAGTGACCACCCCCACCCAGGAAAGGTCCTAAACCTTTGGGTCCTTCACTCAGCCTAAAGCAGCAGCTTGGGAGCCATCAATGGGGGCCACCAGCCGTTACAATTGCAAACCAGACGCTCTGTCAAGGGCAGCACCCTTATTCCTGAACCCAGCCTTCCTGGAGGTGGGTCTTCATGGCCACTGCCAGCTGGCCCTCGGCGGCCCTCCACCCTGTCCCCCGACCCCCCGCAGGTATCATGGCCCATGCGCCTCCCCTGGTGCTCTTACCTCAGGCTCAGTTGGGTGGCCAGTGGGTTTGTGTCACAAAGTCACTTCATTCATGCGGTGGCTTCTGGGAATGCCATGCCCAGACCATTCTGAGGCTCCCTCTGGGCGTGGTGGGAAGAAGGCAGCCACTGGCCACGAGCTCTGCCGTGGGCATAGGCTGGGTCCCGGCTCAGCTCCCGAGGAGCCCCCTGTGTTCCCTGTCCCTGCTAGAGGGGCCCCTGGCAGGGGATGCTCGGGACCTAGGACTCTCTGTGGACTCAGCTTCCTGATGGGGGAGGTGAGCCTGGTTCCAAGAGCAGACAGTCTCACGTGTAGGGGTTTCCTTCCCATGGGCTCTTTTCAGGATTTTTCAGGACCACCCTGCACATGCACCCTCTGCCCAGACCTCCACCCATGCCGCCTGTGACCAGAGTTCTGCTGTGTATTTCCAGCAGCAAGGCGTGTCTCATAAGTGCTGTGTTCTTGGCTGTGTACTAGTTCTTCCCCTGGATGTACTAGTTTTCATAACAGTTAAACCATTTCATAAGCCCTTTGCCTTATTCAGTTTTTCTCTTAAAAAGGATAGTTAATGCATTTTGCATATAATGCCCCTTTAGGATTATGGAATAGATTTCCAGATAGTGTGTTAATTCAAAAGAAATGTAAAATTTTAGACCTTACATATATATATATATATATATATATATATTCCTAAGTTGACTTTTAAAAGATTTGCACCAACTCATTGTCCAGCCTATAATTTCAAGTTACTTTAAAAACAGACATTGATCAGTTAAGACTTGCTTCCTAAGGTAACATAAGAGGTTATTTTTGTCTGATGACAATTTGGAAACTACAAAGTAATAAGATAATGTGATGGACATTAGGAGTAAAAGGACATGTTTTCTGCAAATTATTATCAAATGGTTCAGAAAAAAGACATGAATAATTTTTCATAACATATAGTGTTACATACTCAACACCAAATGTCATAAAATATAAGTAGGCATGTTATATATATAGGTTACATAAAATTTAATGCTATACAATATTAGCGTGCACACATTATGTAGAATTGTGTTACTCTAGATGGTCCCATCAGATGTGTCACGTGTGCGTCTCTGTATGTCTGCGTGGAGAGAACCGTGCAGCACATGGAGCAGCATGTCAGTGGCTGAGCTAGGTGATAACTTCCCCCAGCCCAGCAGGTGATTCTTTGTGCTGGTCTTTTAAACTAACCCCAAAATGTGATATTATTGCAAAAGAAAAGATTCAAGATGTTGGTGACATCTTTTCAGGGTTTTCTCTCTTTGCATAAAACCACCACTTTCTGCTGACCTAGGGTCCACCTCCCTCTGCTTTCTGGGCAGCAGGCATTGCCCTGTGAGTCCACTGCCAATGAACGGCCATGACCTCTGTAGACCCCCCTGTGATGTAAACATCTGCCTCTGTTTTCCACTGATAAACCTTGGACCTGGTCTGTGATGCAGTCCCTGCCCAGCAGCTGGGGGCTGAGAGGCTCTCTCATCTGAAAGGTTGCTCACAGTTGCCAAGGGCTCACAGGGGTCTGCCATTCGCTTTGTCCTCCCACTTTCTGTGACGCAGCAGCCCTGTTTTTCCAATTTCCAAAAACAGAGCCCAGCTCCAAGCAGCTTGGATGAAGCTTGGTGGGCTGCAGGCCCAGGGGACGAGGCACAGCCTGGCCATGGGAGAGTCCAGGGCTGCCACCGTGAACTGTCTCTGCAGGGACGTCCCTGCTCCTCTCCCTCTCCCAGGCCCTGAGTCCAGCTCCTCCTTCAGCTCTGTTCAGGACCTCCGCTTTGCTGTGGCCTGCACACCCCACTCCAGGCCCCAGAGTGCAGGTCAGAGAAGTGCAGGACTGGTTAGGAAGGGCTGCAGAGGGACGGAGACCCTACGGGGCAGGAAACAGAGGCAAAGGGCCACACCTCCATGTCAGTGTTCCCTGGATTTTTCATAAGTTTCCTTTGAATATTAAAAAAAAAGATGAAGGAAATTTGATAGATTTAAATGTCTCCTTATTATTTTTATTGCAGTTCTTCCAACACCAGCCAGGCTTAGAGTTTCTGTGTTTGTCATCCACTTATTTATTTATTTCTGTGAAGGGCTTATTTTTCTTCTACTTTTCATTCTTGAGCTATAGGAAGCCTTTACAAAGGATCTGGCCCTTTGTCATGTAGCTTCAAATATTTGTCCTAGTTTTCTACTTGCCCTTCTGTTGACAGTGTCCTTTGGTGTTCAGCGGGGTAAGTCCATTTAGGCTTCTAAGTTAAACAGCTCAGACTGGTGATTTATAAAAGAAACCCACCTCTCACGGTTCAGGAGGCTGGAAGTCCAGGGTCAAGCAGATCTGGTGTGTGTGGTAAGGGCAGTGTGCTGCTGGCCTTCGCTGGTGGACAATGAGAATGCTCCCCGCGCTGTCGGGAGTCACTGACCCCATGCACGAGGGCTCCCATGACTTACCTGCACCTGAGGGCCCCACTTCTTAGTGCCATCACATTGGTGATGAAACTTCAGGGTACAAGCTTTGGGGTGTGTGTGGGGGGCGTAGGGGGAGCCCATTCATACCACAGCAAGTGGTTTCTCATTTTCTACAATCAAATCTGGTTCATTCACTTGTAAATTCTTTTCTTCTGTCCTTCCGTTTTGTTTTTTTCTACTACCATTCTCTTACAGAAACGCTTCTTTCATTCATCAGGATGGTTTTGCCTTCCATGAGCCTATACGTGGTGATCTCTGCATTTGCTTCCACCGCTTCAGTCTTGGGCCTGCACCCTGTCCATGTCCTCGGTGGCACTGGCACCGTGTACTAAGCAGGAACTCAGTTCACATAGGTCACTGCTGATTTAAATGAAGGGTAATGAAAACCCTTTATGGTCTAATGACTTTTGAAAATTATCCGCCAAAGGACAATTTGAGCAGCAGCATCCTAAACGCCTTCAGTCCTTATGTGGGAGCTGCCGCCCCAGTGCACGTTTTCCAGGCAAATACTTTCTAATTTTTCCTTGAAGTTCTGAGGCACGGCATTCCCTGGCCGCTGGTGTTGGGGAGCTTTTTCTAGAGCCTGGGAGTCTGGTGACAGGACCAAAGGGCAACTAGAGTCCACGCCTGCCTTCCTGCTTTTCAGAGGTAGGGCCATCACCTTCTGGTGGATGACTTCTGAAATTCCTGCACTGGCAGTTAGGGCTGGGGCAAGCAGCAGAGCCAGACCTGTTTTAAGGAAAAGGAGGTGGGCGCAAGCTCGCAGCAATGGGGCAGCGTCACGCAGGTACCTCCTGGTGTCTGGGGGGGGCCTCCTGTGGCTCCTGGGCTTGAGATTCCCATTTTAAGTCAAGTGCCCACAAACAACTAAACAGCCTCATACATTCCTAGAAACACAGAAGCCGTACCCCTGTGCTCTCCCCACTCCAGGAAACGATCTTTGATTTGAAATCTTGCTTTCTGGGAGGAACCATCGATTCGGAGCTGACTCCTTGACTGCTCCTTGATTATGGACTTTCTGGATCAATACAGAGCTACAGTGGACCTGTCTCACATCAAGAAAAAGCAGCGAGGATTCTAAATACGGTGCCTAGAGAAAACCAGCGGGTGTGCTGCACAGATTAAGTTGTTAATAATACATTTATAGATGAAGTTAATGTTCTATGGGTTATTATTAATTCATGTGTTTAGGGAAATGTATGTATCCTACAGAAGGAAGACAAAGTTGTAGACTCTCACCTTTGTATCACAGTGCACTTGTGGTCTCTGTTTGATAGAACCTTGTCTTGGAAGGTCCTTCACTGATGTGACCTGCATGGCGGCTGCTGACAGCACCTCCCCTTTCCTTACCATTCACAGCCCTGCACAGAGTCGGCGCCCAGACTTCTACTGTGAAGCACTGACTTGGGCATATGAGTAGCACATGCTTACACATACATACAAAAAGCCTTTCGTGGCCAAACACGGTGGTGCACACGGGAAATCCCAGTGGCTCAGCTGGCTGAGGCAGGAGGATCACAAGGTCAAGCAATTTATCAAGGTCCTATCTCAAAATAAAAAGTAAAATGGGCTAGGGATGGAGCTCAGGGGTAAAGCACCCTTGGGTTCCATCTCCAGGACCAAAGGATGGAGGAAGAGAGGGAGGGATGGATGGAGGGAAGGAGGGAGGAAGGGAGGGGAGAAGGGAAATAAAGGGAGGGAAGGAAGAAAGGAAAGGAAGAAGGAAAGGGAAGGAAGGAAGGAAGGACCTTTCTCATCTACCAGATGCAATTCAAACTTGGCATTTTCAGAGTTTGAAGAGCAACGTCCACTGCCTTTGGGGACAGGCCTTGAGTGGCACGTGCTCTCTCAAATGGATGGACAGATATAAGAAAGAGTAGCCACAGCAGCTGGTACTGGCGCAGGCCATCTAAGCCAGATGGCTGATGATGCTGAGGTGAGGGCCTCCTGACACCCATGGAACCAGGTGGTGCCCCAGGGTGCTGCAGCCTGGCTGAAATACTGCACTGCTCCCTCATCCCCGGCATGACACCCC